TGTAAAACCTTACTTTGTGATGAAGAGTTGAATTGAACGCCATTGGCAAATAATAATACATTTGTAGATGTTCGATGACATGCAAAATGCGCGAAAAATTATGAGTAAATAACATGACAAGTTAACCGTGCGAATATTTCGAATATGTCATTCGATATTACATGGAGAATAATAGAATGCTATCAGTTGTTCAGTTAGCATAAAACAATAACAGAGAAATTATTAGAAAGTCGTATAATTGCTTTTGTATTAATAACTTCTTTAGCTGAAAGCTCAATCAGTCGATCACAATGCCAATGGCAATTTCTATTAAATGTATACTGTAAACAAAAGCCCAAGTAAATCAAAGTTCACAGCCGTAAAGTTTGAAATATTTATTACAACAGTGCAATTTTATAGTCTGTACCTTTATATAGTTATAGCTTACAAATCTAGTTCCTGCAAGTGTACATCTTCAACGCTTCGGTTGTTGATCATGACATGTTAATATTGGAATTTCCATGGACTTTAAGGGCATATATATGTCATATATACCAAGAATAACAGCATGAATTCACGCCCGGATGACAGGAGAATATTAACATTAGTCAATTCAACAAAAACAAGTAGCAAAAAATCGTAAACGACAACAAAATATCACAACTTGCAAGAAATCGTACATTGTTGCAAGAAATCGACCAAGAACTGCCAGGCGTCTCGCAGTTCAAGTGCATTCTTCCCATAAGCCCCTTCGCCATCTCTCCCCACTACAATACTTCATGTAAACACGTCATATGGGCATCACTGTTTTTTTACAAAGAGGCGCCTGGGTACGAGGCAGCTCATGTACGACTTTCATTATAACTACATCAAACCGATGTATGAAAGCGATGCCGAACTCCTATTCACAGACACGGACTCCCTGTGTTACGAAATCACCACCGAGGACTTCCTCAAGGACATTTCCAAAGATGTTTACGAAAAATTCGATACCAGCAACATCGGTAAAAACCACCCATCCGGAATTCCGACCGGAATAAACAAGAAGGTTATCGGAATGATGAAATCGGAAACAGGAGAAAAACAGATCGGAGAATTTGTAGGACTCAGAGCAAAACTGTATGCCTACAAAATGGCGGAAGACGGAAAGGAAGAAAAGAAATGTAAAGGCGGCAAGAAGACAACCATCAAAAAGGAAATAACGTTCGACAACTATAAGGAATGTCTCTTCAGCGGCGAGAAACAGTGGAGGGGAATGAACGTCTTCAGAAGCAGGCTACACGAAATATATACCGAAAGGATCGTCAAGGTGGCCCTATCGGCAAGCGACGACAAACGTATCATCTTCGAAGATGGAATACACACCTTGGCAATAGGACACAAGGACCTAAGACAGTAGGAATCCCAACAGACCAGTTTTAATATTCACAGGAACATTAAAATTTAATCGGATCTACAGAAGCCTCTTCCACGGTTCTGCAACCTTTACCCTCAGATACTTTGCCTCCTGAAGCTTAACCTGAACGGAAGTCGTGTTTCCGGATAGGTATATGCTCGAAATCCTGATCAAAGCATCCAGGTAGAAGTGTTCGTCACGCTCCTCCATCGTATTCATGTCTCCGTCCTCTCCATACATCACCGTAGTCTTATCGATCTTTGCGTACAGGACGGGTTGCTTCCCACTCCGATAGAAGCATCTCATCACGCTGGTACCCGACTTACCAACCATTACAGCACACTTCTTCTCCAATACTTCCAGAGCTGATATGAATTCCGTGTGTAGTCCAACTGCCAACGGAATTGTGTAGTTGTCCTTTCCGAACTTATTGTTCTTGTTGATTCCATAGGCTAGGCAATTATTCAGCCTAAGTAGCAGTGGACCACCACCCTCCGCAACAAGTCCGATCCTCTCGGATCCAAACCTGTCCTTTACAGGGTCCACAAATTTAAACGAGTCTCCGGAGAAGTCTGATACTCTGGTAATTGACATGGTTATTTATTATACAATTATAATTGCTTACAAGTTGATTCTGTCAAAAAAAAATTCTCCACCGAAAACTCCAACAAGCATTCGGGTGCGGCGGATGCGGTGGGCCCGCGGAGGACGAAATTCATCGGGTCAACACCCACGGGAATTTCCGACAAAATTGTCGGAGCATGCGTATGCGTGCGGGGGTGCTTGCGTGTTCGTGACCACGGATGCGCGAGGACGGGCGAGGGGTCCGGCAGGCATGGGTGGCGCAGGAAACTGGGGAACCGGAAGTGACGTCATCGATCCTATTCCGGGAAGGCGGTGGAATTCCGGGAAGGCGATTCCAGGCGTGCCCGAGCTTGCCCGGGGAATGAGAAACCGGAAGTGACGTCATTGTTTCAACCGGAAGTGACGTCGTCGATTCAACTCGCGCATGCGCAAACCAAAATGATCCAGAACCGGCCTATTTACACTACTAGTATCAATTCGAATTCTGTGAAATATATAAAGCCGGACATCTGGTGTTACTAAAGGTGCAACTGCTATCATAGCTAATGTATTATCATTCTAAAATAAATTTTGAAAAGAAAGACATACATTTCCCCCTTTTTTAGTTATGGCAGTTTTCCATTTGGCAACAACTTTGAAGACCTTTCATTTTGTGCACCAATTGTTTCATAAAGTGCGCGAGATTTTTTGGATTTGAATATCCCGCGGGTTTTTTATGTACTTTTTCCGATATTGTTTTCTTAATATTTGGATCTTTTCTGAACTTTCTCCGATTTGTAGAGATTTTTCATGAATTTCTATGGATTTTTAGAGTTTTCCTTGCTACCTTTTGAGGTATTTTATGGAATTTTTCGAAGCGTAGGGGATACTTTTTGAGGGTTGCACCCTCGAACGATGGGTTGCGTTGTCCAGATTTGATTTGGGATCGATCTTCGTCATCTATATGCTCTCTTTTAGTATTCTTCCAAAATACAGGATGTCTGACTTCTCTGAGAACTGTTTTTCTTTTTCTTAGCATAGGTTTATCATCGGGACAGATTATCTTTCCTATTATTACTTTCTAAAATGGATTTTCTGATATTTGATTAAGATCGTATCATTAACGTATTTATTATTAGGACAATTACTAGAGCTATATTCGATGTACCACATGAGTATGCCGCCATATTGATTGTATGGCAGAAATTCTTTGTTTGCAATGTTTGTAATTTTGGGATTTCAGTTGACGGGCAAGTATAACAAAAAACGGCTATTTCAATGTATTGATCGAGTTTAGAAACAGTTTAAGACTCAAACGATGAATTACCGTTCAGTTTTTCTTGCTACAACCATTTTGATAGAAGAAAAGTTGTCCACAATTTCTTTGATTGACTGGTTCCAGAACAAAATATTTAAATCTACCTTTATAACTGACAACCCAAACTCATTAGAGAGGTTAAGATAACTCTCTTTGACTATTATAGTTGTATATGAAGACGTTAGCTTCCGCATGAAATTAAATTAATTAATTAATTAATAGAATCGTCCCATAATGATTTTTGTATCATGTCATATTTTTATGTTGAAGGACTTTCTTACATTCCAAGTCCAAAATGTGCATATCCTGCGTCCAAACATGGTGTAGTTGGTTTTACAAGGTGTTATGCAAAAGTGAGTATGCCTGAACATATAGGTCTCCATGAATACTTTCTGAAAATTCCATTTTTAACACACTCTTAAGGTTCGGTTTAGACGCTGTACTTTTCATGGCGTTGCAACACTCATTAAATGCATTCTTATTTTGTTTCCCTTTACATGTGATACAGGCAGCCATGTTTTCAAATAATTCCCGTGCAGTGGTGCTAATTTTCCCGCGCCGTAGGACGAGGACAATAGAAATATACAAATTTTACTATCATGATTTTATGCATTAATTTGGTACGACTAATGACAAGCACGGCTGTATGAATCAACCTTTGCTTTAGCCTGAGAAACACGCATGAAGCAGGCGAACTTTTTTATTCAGCCGTGTTTAATATAAAGTCATGTACAGTACTTATTTGATTCAGATGTACGGCGTCTAAACCAGGCCTTCGTTATATACGAGTTTATGATTGTGCCGTTTAGATTGCCATTGAATCCGGCGTACGTTTAAACTGTATTTGTCCATCCTTTGTTGATACTGACATGGTGAAGGATCTTGCAGAAAGTGGTCCTGGTATGAAACAATACATAGCCAAAGCTGGAGTATGCAGGTTTGTGTTAACAATAAAAATTGCGTTAATTAAATTGAATAATTCGACGTTTCGAGCGAAGACCCTTCGACGGCTACCAACTTCCCGACGAAGGGCCTTTGGTCGAAACGTCGACGTTTTCCTTACATTTTTCAGGTGGTTGCATCCCTATCAATCCGAAGCTTTCTATTTATAATGACGACATTTATATAATTTGTATAAAGCTTAGCTTATTTTTTCCAAATCAAACACGTGGTTTTCCCGTGGAAAATTTATATCCTCAATTTATCATCCGGTTTATCATCAGCGCCCGCATCTGTTTTTCGTGCCACATGGATGGAATTATTTTTTATTAAATAAAAATTATTGATTTCAGCGGCAGGCCTTAAAATATCGGTCGGTCACGGACATTGTCCGACCCATTCGCGAAATTGTCCGACGTAGAGAGGAAACTACCGGACATTCTGTCCAACCTAAGTGAAACTGAGGTTTATTGTTTGTCCGACCCGATGTATTGGTGGTGTCCGACCGAACTGTAGCTTTGTCCAACGTAAATCAAAATGTAACCTAGCCCATGACTAGAGGCTTGTATGTTAAATGGAGAATCAGAGTACTATTGTACAAAAAGTGAACTGGAAATGTTGTTTTAACGTTAGTCGATCGAGCGCGGGGCGGCGAGCGAAATGGTGAAGTGGATAACCGGCTTAAGTTGTCGAAGTCTTTTTTAATACTGCTGTTCTGGAAAGCAAGTTAATTTTGGCTTGGGAATAAGTATGAAAGAAACAAATTATTTGATATCTTCATGACATTTACCGTTCAGAATTAATACATTGTACTGATATTCACTTGTGACATTCAGACTTATTTCCGAGTCAAAACTTAACTGAAGGTCATCGGACATATGTCCGACCCAAACTCAACGTCACAGGACATTTTGTCAGACGGCCCTGTTCAGCGGTCTGTCATCACGTCCTTTTAAGGCCTGTTCAGCGGTCTGTCATCACAAAGCACGCGACAAATCCAGCTTTTCTTGACAACGAACGGCGTCGTTTTAACCCAACTAGAAAACGGGATTAGTGCAAAAAAAGTTTACTTACGTTTAAGTGCTGTTCGTGAGAACGTAAAATTTTTGGCAATTCAGATGAAAAGTGTAATAGCATTCGAAAATATTATTCCATACGATTGGGCGTACGGTGATTTGAACATTACTCATTCTGTTTTCTACTGACTAAATTTGAACATGTGTTCTGTAATTTTTTTTTAAAATCCCGCCCACACGGAATATTTTTGATGCCACTGATAATATATTGGGATATTTTTTTATAGACCTTACCGCGTATTGCACACCTGTTAATTCGATGGTCTCGTTGTCATGTTCCCCTGTTCTAGCATGGCAGAATCACATGTAGGGCAGCCAAGAAGTTGCGTGGGCCCCGGGTAGGAACTTTCCCAGGGCCCTCGATGACGTCATGAAATTTTCCCAGGGGCCTTGTGACGTGAAAACCGGTGTTTTACAGCATATGACGTATTGTTGCGTGTTATCCAGCAATACCGACTATATTTTCGGTTTAGCAATTTTGTATCCATATAGCATATAATGTATGCAATATATATTTAAATGTACTTGTATTCTGCTATTTCAAACTTGGTATATATATTCAATTTGCAGATGATTTTTTCCAGGCTTAAATAGTTATGCATCCATTGTTCTATGACAAAAGTAGGAATTATTAACTCGTGTCCATGCTGGACGGGACCCGTGCTAAGTCCAATCATAGTTAATAGAAGGGATGGTTTGGAAATTCATTAGAATAACAATATAATTATTATCTAAGCGTAAGTCAACTTTTATGCAAAAATGTGGGCCTTCGTTGTCAAGTGCGTATTGTATTTTAACCAAATCCACCAATAGCAATTCTTAAGTTACCCAATTGTTCACGTCACGGGAAGTTAACTTTCCTAAAACATTGCTATTGGTTGGTTGGGCAAAAAAAACAATACGCACGTGACAATGAAGGACAACATTTCTGAATAAACCTAAAAAAACATAGATAATGAGTTATATTCTAATTCTAATGTGTTTCCGAACCTTAAACTGTTTCGGCAGCATATCCTGTTACCTGTTGTGTATGTTGTGTATTTCGCTTCTCTTTTACATTCTTTATCTACAGTAGGTACAAACTTGGAAAATCGTAGTTTATAAACTTGCGAGTTGTGCCGCCTTTTTATATATTTTGTACGTAGCAAAGTCACGTGACAACAAATCAGCCAATCACGTTTGGTGTTCACCCTAGCCATATAACAATTATCTTTGATCGTACCTACATCACATGCAAGCATATCCCTATCCCTATTGGGCATAAAACGTGAGGATATGACAACATTAATACGAGCTGACCATTGGGCCTAGAGTGCAATGGCCGATAAACTCTATTGTGCATGATTTGCTTACATGCTCGTATTTTTAGATATTCCTTAATTTGCCGAGTACAAGTGAAGCATATTAAAGATGTTATAACTACAAACACTAGTTTTCTGATCTGATATTTTAATGCCGATACCGTGGCAGGTGGTTTTATTCAACTTTTGAACGATAAAGACAAAGTGGGAGAAGTCATGACAGTCTCAGTTCATGATGGAATTGGTTACCACAAATTTCCAGAGCAACTTTGACAAATCATTTACTTGAAAACAAATTATTTTCATGTTTAGGTAATATGAATGACATTTGTTGAAACCGTAAACAGCGAGACATGATTCTATAACTGATTCTTCCACAGTCCCTCGTTACATTTTAGTGCGGGAGAATATGCCCGTTCGCGGGTTACATCCAACGCGAGCGACTGGGGACGAGTCAGATTCTATAACCTGTATTTTTATTTAGCCAACCGCTAATCAAAGTATTGTTCCCGGCTACTGGCAGCCATGGTAACGTACTGGAATAAAGTTTGGTGCAAAATTATAGAAAAAAACAATGAAAATGTTAATTCTTTTAAATTAATCATAGAATTGTCATTTTAATAATAATAATTTAATTCTGTGTTTCCAACAAGTGGCTCTTCATCCGTAAAAAATATACATATAGTTACATACAATTTGATTAAGAAAGATATCCAGTATATACATATATACACAAAAATATGATATTATATTAAGTTGAAACTCTGTCATTACCTAATTCCATTAAAAGGTTGATTACATTGGGGACACCCTACAATATTTGAAAAAGACAATTGTGTTGCGAAAATTTACCCAAAATGTGTCGTACAAAATACAAAAGCAAAACTCCTCACTTTTTGCTGCAGAGAGATGTAAAACAGTCGTAACTAATCGAAAAACCAGATTTGAATCCCAATCATTGTAATATCCCCATGGAAAAAGTGTTTTTCTTGCACATTTTTGCTCAAAAACAAACTTTTGACCGAATTTTTTCACTCCTCGAAACTCTCCTTAGCCCTTTTGAAAGCTGATTTTCCCGCGCGTCGGCTTCAAGGAATCTTAGGCATTCATCATAGAAGTTAGCCTTCCAGTTCATTTATAGTTCAATGGCGGCGGCTGCCCTTCCAGGCTAAGAACCCCAGTACCACTAGAATACTGTAATTTGAGAAGTATATGCCGCTTTCCCCCATCTCTTTTGACGAATTTTAAACAATGTAAATAATGAGACTTGTGGCCGCAGTATTGCTATGATCTCATTACTTATTCACTTGTAATTTACGAGGAAAGCGAGGCTACCGATAGTACCATCACAGATTAAGAATATACCAGATGTGTAACTTCATAGGACTTCGTGTCTTCAAATTTCCCTAGATGTACACGTCATGCTCCCGCCATTGTACTTGCTAGCAAAATGGCGTCCTGGAAAACACGAACTTTTGCATTTTATTGCGGCCTTTTTGGTTCGAAATTTTTTGATTTTACCAACGACCTCAAAGGTGGGAGATGCAATATCAAAAGCGAGCTCAATGCTTGGTTTCATTCGACAAACGGCCTCTAACTAGGCCTTTATAGATTGCGCTCGGAAACTTGTGAGCAACTTTTGGAGTTTTGAGCAACTTTTTGCCTTTCAACCCCATCCTCCGCATTCCTATTACCTTGTAATTTGATATTTTAAATAGTAATTTATTCATATTTGTAACTCATTGTCATACTATATTCATTTTCTCTGAAGATGTCTTAGGTTAAAGACGAAACGTTAGTACTTCTTAAATAAATCTTATGTCTATATTATTGTCTATATGGCTCTTTTGCGTACGTTATGCTGGGCATTAATCTTTATACTACGATTACGATTCCCGCCTGGTTCATCAGTTGCAAGTATTTTAAGCACAGAATGAACATTTGGGGATATAAAAAGTTTAATTTAAATCAAATATTTAATTGAATGAAATAACAAATTTTGACAATAAAGAATGTCGTGGGCCGTGGCCCGTAGGGATCATCGTTAATGTACGCCCATGAATGCTATATTGGACAATGGACAGCAGTAATTATTTAAAGATGCCTTATGAACAATGCATTCAATGCCCAACAAGATTTTGCCCTTGGAGATTACCTTGAGGTCTCAGTTATGATAAGGTAGGCCTACAATAGTGCAAAGAGATAGTGAGCAATTTCGCTTTGTTTCACTGATATGAATGCAATTAGATGTTGTAATACATAAATGAAGGAATACCGAATGGTTTTCCGTGCAGGATTGCGTGATCATGCACGATCGAGGGATGTCGCGAGACTTTCGGAAAGCGTAAAAATACTCGCCGAGTGTATTTTTACGCGTAGCGCCGAATCGGCTATCGCTCATATTCGACGAGAGTGAGTGGAATAACTGTTTTATTATATACACAAGATCTGAATTCACACACTTTGCTTTTCGAATATGTTCAATATTTTTCTATTTTGTTTATGTTTTTATCTTCGCTCTTTCGGCCGATTATTTTTTTTTAAATATATATTTTTAACCATTTTAAATTTTAAAAATTTATTTGCTAACCTGAAAACAATTTGTGGGCCCATTTTTTCAT